CACTACTCGGAACACACAGTCTTTTACTCCCTGCCTTTTCAAGAAACAGCAAGCCGTCTACCATCGTAAATTCATCAGAAGTTACTTTATCCTTTTCTTTGAACTTACGGATGATCTCCGACATAACCGAGTCTTGCTGATAGGCCTCCACCAAAGATCGAGTTAGATCATTACATATGCCAAATTCAGCCACTAGCGCGCCCAGGTAATCTGCCCGACATGACAGTGCATCAGCTACCTTGTTGTACTCTCCCTTGATTAGATCAAGTTGGTAGTCATACATGTCTATCACTTGAATCCATCGCTTAAGTTGTCTATCACTTGAATCCATCGCTTGAGTGCGTCAAAAAGTACCGGTTGTGTTTTGATCCAGCGCAGGGTCTCATGGTCAGATCTCATATAAAAGAATCTGTTAAGGAGATAGTGTCTCCAATGAACTAGCGCTCGGTAAAGGGCGTAAAGCTCACGCTCGTAGGTAGACCTGGCTAGTTTCTGAGACGGCATCTTTTGCTCATGTACTCGATAGGTCTCAACTTGGTCCCCTCCTTTTGCGCAAGGACCGCGCTTATGCCATATTGGCTAGCGTCTGTGGTCACTACAAATGGCTTATCAGGATCACCTCGTAGTGTGTTAGGGCATACTTCAGTTTCCTAAAGGCCGCCTCACACTCTTCAGTCCACTCCCAAGGGGTGTTCAGTCGAGTTAGATCTGTTAATGGGGAAGCTATAGTACTGTAGCTCTTTACAAACGGATGATAGTAGCCCGTCATCCCCAAAAACGATCTGACCTCAGTAACAGTCAGAGGTCTGGGTCAGTCACGTATGCTGGCCACCTTAGCATCATCCGGCCTCAATCCATCCGCTGAGATTTCATGACCCAAGTACAAGATCTTGGTGCGACCCAACTCGCACTTCTCCAAGTTAACCTTGTACTGGTGCTGTCTTAGGAGACCTAGCACTATTTTCAAGTGCTCAGCGTGCTCCTCTACAGTCCTACTAAAGATAAGAATATCGTCAAGGTACATGACGATAAACTTGTCTAAGTAATCATGAAATATCTTGTTCATCACGTGCTGGAACGGACCAGGTGCATTGCATAGGCCAAAGGGCATCACCACAAACTTGTACAGACCGTACCTGGTCTGAAATGTGGTTTTGTGCTGGTCCTCAAGTCTAATGGCAATTTGATGGTATTCGGACTTCAGATCTATCTCGGTGAAGTACCGACATCCCTGCACTCTATCCAAGAGGTCGTCGATGCGGGGTAGGGGCTCCGCGTTCTGAACGGTGATGGCATTGAGGCCCCTTTAGTCAATGCACATCCTCAAGGTACCTCCCTTCTTTGGGACAAATAGGACTGGCGCACCGTAAGGGGAGGTACTAGGCCGAATCCATCCCTTTTCTGTGAGCTCCTTGAGCTAGCGGCGGAGCTCATCCAACTCCGCATGAGACATCCTATAGATTCGTCCTTTAGGCACCTTGCTACCTGGGACAACCTCTATTGCATGGACTACCTCCCTTTCTACCACGCCTGTGGGCTCCTCAAAAAGGTCGGAATATTTTGCGACGACTGATTCTATCTCTGGGGGTGTTTTAACAGCCTCCCCTTTCTCAAAGACAAAGACCAGATACATGCCCTCCTCGCGATTCTGCTTGTAGCAGTTATAGAAAAAGGAAGCACACATGCAGCCGTAGTTTTCCATTAGACTGCTAGCCTTATATTTTTGCAGTCTAACGGTCCTACCATTTGGCAACTTGTGTATCAACACCTTTCTATCCCAATCAAATTGAGGTTGCTCGACCTCGAGGTAGTACATGCCTAGTAGCATATCGAAGGGCAGTTCGTCGCTGACGAGGAATGAGATTTTATGTCTCACTTCCCCTCCTCCATAAGAGAAGGAACAGACTACGTCCTTGACATAGTCCTTTACTACCATTTGGTGCTTGTTGGCTAGCGTAGAAGCTACAGTTCTGCTAAGCCGCTGCACTTGGTCCCCTAAGCACAGTCTATCCACACAGCAAACTGTTTTTGCCCCGTAGTGCAATTATAACTCGTTTTTGTGACTCGACTGAAGTTACCCCTTTTTTTGTTTGTCCACTTCTTCACTTCTCTTATCCCACCTCCCTTCTCTTCGCCTCCCATCTAGCCTCCCACCTCACACATAGCGTCATGAACATAGGGGCTCGCCACATCATTGTCGAAAGCCTTAAAATTGGACAGCTGTCGACGACTGTCAGAATAAGGGCCTCGCCACACCACTCTTGAAAACTCTTTTTCAAGAGTTGCTGCATCGCCACACAGCCTCTTGACAGGGCAGTCAAGAGCTGTCAGAGTGGCTTGAAACCCTTTCAAAAGCAGCTCTTGAAAGATTGGAAACCCCAACCTGCAACTCGTGCGTTTCCAAGCGTCCTTGGCCGAACCCTTGAGGGACTATCAATTTTCAAGAGTTGTCAGGCTGTTATCCTGACGCCATGCGAAAAAAACAAAGTTGTATGACTGTCATTTTTCATCCTGTGTCCAATGGCAAGAGTGTTGTGTGGCGAGGGGCCGAAAAATCTTGAAAACACAACTCTTGAGAACTTCTGACAGCTCTTGACAAATCTTGCCGTTTCAAGAGTGGTGTGGTGAGGCTCTAAATTGGGCAGCCGCCCTCTCGCAGTTTGCCCCCCTTTAGCCACACAGCACTGTAGAATGGACACACTTGTGAATGCAAGACGGAAAAAGACGAACAAGAGTGGTGTGGCGAGGCTCTAAATTGGGCATTGGGCAGCCGCCCTCTTGCAGTTTGCCCCCCTTTAGTGAAACGGTTTTCACCTTTTAGCAGTAGCAGATGTAGTACCCAGGGTTCGATCCCTAGACCTCACCCTACCCCTGTACAATATCTGTGCAGACCAGAGAGTTGAACCTGTGACCTATGTATTCGTAGACAACTGGTAGGTCTGCCATAGGTCCGTAGGAAGCAGGGGTTCGATCTGTAGATCTATAGAGTAGAAGTCTTAGCGAGTTCCAGAAGCTTAGTTGTAGTCCTTCTAGAAGGTAGGCAAGTGGGCAAGTGGTCAAGTGGCGAGGCAAGTGGTGGACTAAACTGCAGTGCAACTGCAGCACGACCACGGTAGGATAGCAGTGAGTCCACGGTCAGTCAGCGGTAAAGTCCAGTCAGTCCCAGTCCGGTCCAGCAAGTACCACGGGGGACTGTGAGCACCATGGGCCGATGGCAAAGGGCAGACCAACGAGTTTCTGAAGTATAAATCAAGAGGCAGCGCCCAACCATTCATTCATTCCTGCGTGAGCCATGCGAAAGCGCTACCTCAGCGACTTGTGCAAGGAGGTCTGCAGTGAGCCCGGAGGACGCAGTGGGCGAGAGAGGAGGAGCTTAGTCTAGCGATAGGGTAGAGGCAGCCATAGCTGCCATAGCTGTAGTTAGTGTGAAGAGTGTGTGTGTATGTGCGAGTGTCCAGAGTTACGCGTGTGGGATATCCAGGGTGATCCGGTGTGTGTGAACAGTGAGTTGTTTGGGCGCTGAGTCGCCATAGCCAGTTGAAAGTGAACTCTTATCTGGATG